ATCTGTGTTGAGGGGGTGGTCTGTACTGAAAGGTCTATGCTTGGAATTCAGTCTGGGCTGGGGGTTTCAGTATGTACTGTATGGTTGGAGTGAGTCTGTATAGAGTGGTTTGTGCTGGAGGAGTTCACCTGTGTTTGTTGGGGGGGGGGGGGTTTATCTGTGCTTTGGGGTCTGTGATGGGGGGGTTAATCTGTTCTGTAGGGTCTGTGTTCAGAAGTTAGTGTGTGCTGGGGGGGGATGGGAAGGAGTATGTACAGAGGGTTTTGTGCTGAAGGGGGGTCCATCTGTGTCAGTGTTTGCTGGTGGTATTTCTGTACTGAGGGTTCTGGGGGGGGGGGGGCAATCTGTGCTGGAGAGGGAAGTCTGTACTTAGGGGTTTGTATTGGGAGACTAAAGACACATAGAGTTCATTCAGGTGGGCACTGAGACTGGTACTCTATGCTGAGTGGCATTTTACTGCATCTTTATCCATCTTGAAGCTCATAGCAGTGAATGTAGATGCAGCAGCTGCACAGACATAGTCGAATGTCAAGATTTGACATGCAGACAGGAACGGGTACATGGATTTGAACATGCAGTGTCTGCATTCAGATCCGTGCATCCTCTTTTATGGGCTTCCTGCAAACAACTCCAAGGCAGATATGAAGACACAACAAAAAGCAGCTCAGCACAGAGGATTTGTCTCATTGCCCATCTGAATGAGCCCTTACAGGAATGAGTACACTTAAATTAAGTGTGCTGAGGTTTTTACATATCAGTTACACACTTGCTTGTGGTACAGTAATTAAAGCAGAAGTAAACCGCAAAAAATAAAACTAAAAAATCTTCTCCCTGCAAGTTACGAGCATAGTGTGTGAGTATGCATCGCCTACTATCACATTATGAAGGACTTACCTGTCAACAAAGCTCTCCAGTGGAACGCTGTCATGGATGCCCTGGGCTTCTATCTTCACCTAGTCTTCTTTCCAAGCACAGTCCACATATGACATCACTTAGTGGTGCATGTTTAGAGATATTTAAAGTACCTACAGGTAAGCCTGATCTGTAGCTTAATATAAGAAATAGAGAAAAAAAGCGCCACAAACTAAATAAATAGAACAAAAGCTGCACTCTTAACCAAAAAAAGGTAAAAATGTGAATAAATCAAAGAGAGCACTAAATATAAGTAAATACAAAAATTATTAGTTTAAAATAATGATGTCCGTGATAAAAAAATATTATATAAAAAGTCCATCCACCATCACAAAGTAATTAAACAAGAAATCTTGTATAAATCAAACACCGTGACGAAACTAGTAGGGCGGGGCTTCTTTTTGGATGTGACGTCAGGACGCTCCTCGTAGACTGTCGGCTGTGATATCGCGGTGAGCGAGGCTTGTCCCTGCTTTCTTGAGGCTGTCATTGCTGCTGTTGGCTAGACACCCTGTTTGTGAGTGCATTTCTGACGTTTTAATAAAACATTTTGGTTTTAAAACGTACTGCACCATTATCTGTAGCTTACCTATAGGTAAAACATAAAAAATATAATATATAAAATAATAGGAGTGCAAAAATCATTCCCAGGTGTTAGATGTACTAGGTATGCACTCGGCTGTCATGGGTCTTCCAGACGCAGCAAAAAAAAACATGACTGAACTGATGATGACCGTGTGAAAGAACACATGACACACCTTTCACATGACTATTTCGATCAGGTCTACCTGTCATTTTTTTAGATGGACCTGAATGGAAGTTCCATGGAGAAAGCAGATAGCAGGCGGAGTCTGCCCCGTGTGAAAGGGGCCAAAGAAACTGATGAATACTGATTCAGGCTCCTTTAACACAGAGTGGATGCCTTTATGCTAAGTAGGATATCTGTTCACTGTTCCCCTGCTGAGCAGATTAGAGCGGGCGAATGACAGTGTCTACTCAGTTTTTCGCAGAGCTGACATGATCACGGCCCGCTCTGCTCTAAGGATTGGTGGGTGTAAATGGATTGGTCCATTTACACCTGATTGTCCTACAATCCACCTAGATGAAAGGGAATAGATCCCATTCTGTTTTTTTTTAGCAGACCGAGTCAGATTGGTGGTAGATGGGTGTAAGCACTTACACCTGCTGGACCATAAGGATACATAGATCACCTGATCAAGTCCGCCTGAAAAACTGTGAAAAGGGCCTTAGTTGTTGAAGATACTAATCATAGGTGACAAAGATATAACCAAAACATATGTTCATTGCCTAAAATTGACATAAATGGAACACACATAAATAGACATATGCTAACATCCATGCAGATATGTGTAAAAGGAAAAGGGCACAGCTTTGTTTCATTTAAAAAAATGCAACTGAACATATGTAGGTGAATGTAGACAAATGATTATCTACAAGCCTATATAAATGAACTGCTGTCCAAATATAAATGGATTAAATATGGACAAACAAAACACCTGTGCAAAAGGGCCCTAACAAACGTAAAAGAAACAAAACATGTTTTTAACATTGTTATCGTTTCGCTGTGAAACTGACACTTAAAAAAAAAAAAAACAGGAAAACTAGAGATTTTCTTCTAGAGCTTCGCTTTAGATTTTGCCTGGAGTGCCACCTGTGGGCACAAGTTGGAATGTCCTAAATTACTGCACACTATTGCTTCTAAATTTACGATATTAAACTTAATGTACTTCATTTGAACACATGGCTTATTAAAACATTCATAAATAATGTATTTTTCCAAGCATAACACACACTGACATGGACTTAGTAATATTGCTTCTTCCTTATGTTACCATTTAAAGTGGATTTGTATTCTGTATATCTGCTGTAATTAGTACTTACAAATGTACATGAAAAATTTATTGGGCCCCATTCATCAAGCACTGGAGCATGCCAGCTTCACTTAGCTTTGTGGGCAATACAGTGCTCATTAGTGCATAGCCTGCACATTTATCTGAGTGGTCCAGTGAGTAAAACCATAGTTAAGAATGGATTACTTGAAAGATTATTTACCGTTAACACACATTAGGAAAAAAAAAAGTAACTGCAAGCTATCATCTTCATCCCATTTCACCATTAAAACAATGTTTTTATATCCTTTTTTTTGTAAAAAACTATTTTTAATAAAAATTGACATGTATTTAGTTGTATTTTTGGATGGCGTGGTGGGGGGGAGAGGGATGTGTGTGTGTGTGTGTGTGTGTGTGTGTGTGTGTGTGTGTCGGGGGGGGGTAGAGCCCCTCTTAAGTTTCTACTGAATTGATGGACTTAAGGAAAAATCTGAAATTTTGAGTTGTCACTGGAACAGAAAAAGCTTTGAAATCTATTCAAAAGGGACACCTATTTCAATGACAGGATGACAAAGAGTATTTCCCTTACTTTAGGGAGATCCCCACCAATATCCTGTTGTGCCTCAAGACAAGTAGTGAAGGAAATTCAATGGAACATGGAGAGCAAACATAAAATTCTAATATATATATATATATATATATATATATATATACCGTATTTTTCGCTTCATAAGACGCACCTGACCATAAGACGCACCTAGGTTTTAGAGGAGAAAAACAAGAAAAAAAATATTCTGAACCAATGGACTGCGGACACAGTACAGGGGATGACCAGAGACTGCGGACACCGTACAGGGGATGACCAGAGACTGCGGACATAGTACAGGAGATGACCAGAGACTGCGGACATAGTACAGGGGATGACTAGAGACTGCGGACATAGTACAGGAGATGACCAGAGACTGCGGACATAGTACAGGGGATGACCAGAGACTGCGGACACAGTACAGGGGATGACTAGAGACTGCGGACACAGTACAGGGGATGACCAGAGACTGCGGACACAGTACAGGAGATGACCAGAGACTGCGGACATAGTACAGGAGATGACCAGAGACTGCGGACACAGTACAGGGGATGACCAGAGACTGCGGACATAGTACAGGAGATGACCAGAGACTGCGGACACAGTACAGGGGATGACCAGAGACTGCGGACACAGTACAGGAGATGACCAGAGACTGCGGACACAGTACAGGGGATGACCAGAGACTGTGGACACAGCACAGGGAATGACCAGAGACTGCGGACACAGTACAGGAGATGACCAGAGACTGCGGACACAGCACAGGGAAAGACCAGAGACTGCGGACACAGTACAGGAGATGGCCAGAGACTGCGGACACAGCACAGGGAATGACCAGAGACTGTGGACACAGTACAGGGAATGACCAGAGACTGCGGACACAGTACACGGAATGACCAGAGACTGCGGACATAGTACAGAAGACCAGAGACTGCAGACAGTGCAGGGGATGACCAGAGACTGCAGACAGTAAAGGAGATTACCAGAGACTGTGGACCTTTGGGGAGGGAGGGGGAGCGGGTACCTGAATTTGACAGGTACCCGCTCCCACTTTCGCAGAGTTGTCCTTCCTTCTTCTTCCCGCGGTGGCTTCTGTGACAGCCAGGTGCCCACTGCGCATGCGCGAGAAGCGCTGTGCTTTGTGAAATGCCCGGAGCCTTCTGGGACCTGCCATGTGTCCCAGAAGACACTGGACTATTCACAAAGCGCGGCGCTTCTCGCGCGTGCGCAGTGGGCACCCGGCTGTCGCAGAAGCTGCCGCGGGAAGACTGCAGCGCTGGAGCGAGGAACAGGTAAGGTCCTGCAGGAGAGAAGAGATAAGCGGCCGGGCCGATATTCTGACATGGTGGCGGCAGAAATACTGGACTGGCCGCTTTACATTCACTCCATAAGACGCACTGACATTTTCCCCCCTTTCTTGGGGGGAAAAAGTGCTTCTCTTGGAGCGAAAAAATACGGTATATATAGATATATAGATATATCTATATATATCTATATATATATATACACACTGTATATATATATATATATATATATATATATATATAAATACACAATATTGCCAAAAGTATTAAGGCACCCCTCAAAATCATTGGATTCAGGTGTTCCAATCATCTCCATGGCCACAGGTGTATAAAATCAATCACCTAGGCATGCAGACTGCTTCTAAAAACATTTGTGAAAGAATGGATCACTCTCAGGAGCTTAGTGAAATCAAGAGTGGTACCGTAGGTTGCCACCTGTGCAATAGGTCCATCCGTGATATTTCCTTGCTACTAAATATTCCATGGTCAACTGTTAGTGGTATTATAATAAAGTGGAAGCAACTGGGAACAACAGCAATTCAGGCACAAAGTGGTAGGTCACGTAAAATGACAGAGCTGCGTAAGCGCATGCTGAAGCTCACAGTATGCAGGAGTTGCCAATGGTCTGCAGAGTCAATAGCTAAAGACCTCCAAACTTCATGTGACCTTCATATTAGCACAACAACAGTGCGTAGAGAGTTTCATGGAATGGGTTTCCATGGCCGAATAGCTGCATCCAAGCCTTACATCACCAAGTGCAATGCAAAGCGTTGGATGGGGTGGTGTAAAGCACACCACCACTGGACTCTAGAGCAGAGGAGTGTTCTCTGGAGTGATGAATCATGAGTCTCTGTCTGGCAATCCAATGGATGTGTCGGGGTTTGGCAGTTGCCTAGAGAACAGTATTTGCCTGACTGCATTGTGCCAAGTATAAAGTTTGGTGAAGGGGGGATTGAGGCTGGGATGCCATTAAAGTTCATGTGCGTGTAAAGGCAGGCGTCCCAATACTTTTGGCAATATAGTGTGTATGTATATATATGCTACTTTTGCTGTAGTACATCTGACAAGTGCACCACTTCATGTGCAGGATTAAGATATCCTCTAAGCATGTTATTTAAATGAATTATGTATTTTTAATGTTGTCCGTTAAGCCTTTTAAATGGACCTGCTCCATGTCAAACAGCATTTTTAGGTAAGTGTAAATGCAAGTGTATTGGACCACACCCTAAAATAACCTTTTTTTTTCAGTTCTATAATGTATGTTTGTAGATGGTCTTGTATATTCTTATGTTACTTTGCATTTATTAAGATTGATACTGTTGATGTTGTTGCATTCGATTAAATGTGATATGCATTGTTTTCAATTTTTGTTCAAGAAATATATTGAACATATTGTCATAGATTGCTGCACAAATTGAAAAATGTTAGTGCTGTTCATTTGTTGCATTTTTAGGATTTTAGGACTTTTTGCACTTTATTTTTTTTATTATTATTATAAAGGATTTATATTGCGCCAACAGTTTACGCAGCGCTTTACAACATAAGGACAGAAATTACAATAACAATACAAATGAATACAGGAGGGGATCAGAGGGCCCTGCTCGTTAGAGATTACAAACTAAGAGGGAGGGTCAGTTGAAACAGTAATAACTGTGGGGGATGGGCTGAGCCAACATCAGTGGAGGGATTGGTAAAGAGGGGTGGCAGACACTGAACAGTTGGTAAGGTGGATGAGCCTGGCAGCAGTATTCATGATGGACTGGAGGGGGGATAGCCTATGTAAAGGTAAGCCAGTGAGGAGGAAAGTAAAGTGGTCAAGGCGGGAGATGACCAGGAAGTGAGTTAGAAGCTTTGTTGTGTCATGGGTCAGGAAGGGGCATATCTTGGAGATGTTACGGAGGTTGAGGTGGCAAGCTCTGGACAGTGATTGGATGTGGGACTAAAAGGATAGTTCAGAGTCCAGGATTACACCTAGAACCTTGGCATGTATGGATGGGTTGATGGTTGAGCAGTTGATTTTGAAAGAGAAGTCAGGGGAAAGGGCACACAGAAGAGGAAATATTATGAGCTCGATTTTGGATAGATTGATTTTCAAGTGGTGTAACATCCAGTCTGATATGTCTTTTAGCAGATTAGTGATGCCTGTGGAGGCGAAGTTGAGGGGCAGAGAAATAGAATTGGGTGCTATCAACTGAACCAAGGAAGAAGCGTAGATTGAGAATAGGACTGGTCCAAGAACAGAACCTTGTGGAACCCCAATGGAGATAGGAAGAGGAGAAGAGGAAGTAGAATTGTGACACTGAAGGTGCCGTGCACAGGTAGGATGAGAACCACCAAAGAGTACAGTTGCAAAGACCAAAAGGAGTAGAGTTTTTTGAGGAGGAGGGAGTGGTCCACTGTGTCAAAGGCAGCAGAGAGGTCCAGGAGTAGGAGTACAGAATAGAGTCCATTGGTTTTAGCCGTTAGTAGATCGTTTGTGAGTTTAGGGAGAGCAGATTCCATGGAGTGTCGTGAGCAAAATCCAGACTGAAGGGGATCAAAAAGGTTATTTTCATTGAGATGGTAGCTCAGTTGGTTACAGACCAGGCATTCAAAGAGTTTGGAGGAAAAGGGAGGTAAGGAGATGGGTCATAGGTTATTAAGTTTAGTGGGGTTTAGTGTGGACTTTTTAAGTATGGGGGTGACTAGTGCATATTTTAGAGAGTTGGGGAAGATGCTGGAAGAGAGGGAGAGATTGAAGAAGTGAGTTAGAGAATGTAGGATAGAGCCAGAGGGTGAACATAGCTTTTGCAAGGGAACAGGGTCCGGGGGGCAGGTGGTTAGATGAGCGTTAAAAAAAAGTTTAGCAAGCTCATCTATAGTAGTGGGGTTAAATGCGGGAAGTAGTGATTCTACCTGTGGACATGGAGTGTTAAGTGGGGGAGGTATCTACACATCTGAGATCTCCTCATGAATTGTATCATTCTTCTTTTTGAAGTGATTGGCGATTTCCTGGGCAGTGAGTGAGGTGGTGGGTGGAGGCAGTGGAGGGGCAAAGAAGAGAGTTGAAGGTAGAGAAAAGTTGATAGGGAATGGATGAGAAGGTGTTAATTAGAGTGATGAAATAGGTCTGCTTGGCAGGGAGGAGGCAGGAATAATATTTATGGAGGGCAGATTTATATAGGTTGAAGTCTTTCTGAGACAGTCTTACGCCACAGACGCTCAAGAGCACAGATACGTTTTTTGAGACTTCTGGTGTCATCTGTTTGCCAAGGTTGTAGGGGTTTGGACCTGATTGTGTGTAGTGGGGGGACAAGCTTGTCTAGGGAGGATGACAGTAAGCTGTTGTAGACAGAAGTAGCTAGAATTTGGGGAAGGACAGGGGTGATATTTTGTCATAGAGCTGGTCAATAGCAGAGTACAAAAGAGAAAGGTTGAGATGGCGAACATTTCTACGGGTAACTGTTAGGAGGTTGGAGGAAGAGGAGGTGGAAGACAGGAAGAGAGTGAAACTAATAAGGTGGTGATCAGAGAGTGGAAGAGGGTTGTTGGTGAGATTGCACAAAATGCATAGGTAGGAGAATACAAGGTCAAGGGTGTTGCCACCATTGGAGTGAGTAGAAGCCTATATCTGTTGCTTCACGTTAAAAGAGAAGGCTAGACTAAGAAGTTTAGAAGTCAAAGGAGTATTGGCATTAACAGGGATGGTAGTCACCGAGAATGATTGAGGTGTTTTTAGAAGAGAGAAAGTAGGGTAGCCAGGCAGAGAAGTCATCAAGGAAGGTTGACCGGTCCAGGGGACCGGTAGATTGCAGCAGTTCTTAGAGAAACTGGAGAAAATAAACAAATACAATGTACCTCAAAGGAGGAGAGTGTCAGAGCGGGAGGTGGGTGAAGTACCTGATAGGTTCTCTTTGGGGATAGGAGGATTCCTACTCCACTTCCCTTCCATCCACTGGGTCTGGGGGAGTGAGTCCAGCAAAGGCCACCAGGGAGAAGGAAACATGGGAAGCAGTGACAGATTAATAAATAAAGCCAGGTTTTGGTAATGGCAAGGACATTGAAGGGATTTGTGATAAAGAGGTCATGGAGGGACGTGAGTTTGTTACAGACAGAGTGGGCAATACAGAGGACACAGGATAAGGGGATTCTGGTTTTGGGAAGAAGAGGAATGGAGACTAAGTTCTGTGGATTGCGGCTGTTGCCAGGAGGAGTGCGGGGGGTGATGGGAGTGTTTGGCATAGTTAAATAATGGAGGCCTGGTTTGGGAATATGTCTCCAGTAGTTAAAAGAAGCAGAAGGGCAAGGGAGGTAATATGGGAGTGTGATTTTTATGACAGAACATGCCTCAGTGTCCTGGAGGTTTTATTATCATGTGAATTTAGATTTAGCAGGCGTTGATGAGTACAGTAATAGGGGGAGGACAGAAGGGAGGGTGATGCATATAAGCTGTGGGGTGGAGACGAAGGGTGAAGAAGACAGCGTTTAAGGAGAGAGGATACAACTGTCAGAAGTAGTGTTAGAAAGAGCATATTACGGAGGGGGAAAAAAAGCTGCATAGAAAGGGTCACCTGCCACCTAATTGGTGCTTTTCAATGAATTTAGCAATGTAGGTTTGCTTCGTACAATCGCTGAAGTGCACGTCACTTATATAAAGAATCACTTCTGGAAAGAATCACTAACGGAATATAACCCCAGTAACGTTCCCTCTAGCAAGGTGCTATCCCTAAAAAGGTGCTCTAGTTTTATACTATTATAGGTGGGGGTGGTTGGTTGTTAATTAATTATTCATGAGCTAATATATGGATGGCTGGCTATCAAAGCAAGCTTTTGATATCCCAGCCAGACTTACAAGAGAGCAGAGAGAACTGTAAAGATAAGAACAGCCATAACGTAGGTAAGGCACTTGCAGAGCAACATAAACATTATGTTGCAGACAGGGAAACAGATGGTGTAGACAGCAACATACCAAAAAGCACAAAGACAGTGAAAATAAACAGTCAGCTTCCAGTTTTGAGTGGATGTAGTATGTCTGTATAAAGACATACTTTATTGCTTGTACACATGGTCATTCTGAAGCAGTGTGAAGTAGGTAGTTCATTTTGCAATTTTAGCTACTTTAATTTCGGGAGTTTGTACTCCTAGATTGTAAGTTCCAAGGAGCAGGGCCCTCCTATCCCTCTTGTATTGAACAGTATTGTTGCTGTACTGTCTCCCTTATATTGTAAAGCGCTGAGCAAACTGTTGACGCTATATAAATCCTGTATAATAATAATAATACGGGGATGAATAATGGATCACTGGTAAATGTGAGTGCAGTTGTAAATAGTAATTGTGCACTTTTGCAATACTGGCGAATATCAACCTTCATTTTTTTCAATTTTAGTGAATCAGGCATTTATCATATTTTATTTATGAAATCCCTATCATTGTATTTTAACCAGCCAATGAACCCTATATTAATGTGTTAAAATTAAATTTTGTTGTTAAAGTGTAAGGCCAACTTTTTAAATTTAGTTTTGGATACAGTAAAGAAAGATTAAAACCCCTGTTGGATTTTTACTGTTATCTGCTAGCTTACTGTCAAGCTGACAACAGATTCCCCAAACTGGAAGCTAGGGAAAATCTCCAACAGCAATACATACAAAAATAAATAAAATATTTATTAAGGCAATAGGAGGCTACAAACCTTGGTTAGATTTGTTTTACATCATTCTGTGTCTCCATTGTAGATTTTCCCTCAC